GATCCATATTCATGCCCATTCCAAAGAAAGGTGATCCAATGCACTGTGGAAATTATGAAATAATATCATTAATATCACATGCACATAAAATTATGCTGAAAACAATTAAAAAATGATTGTAGCAGTACATCAACAGGGAACTTCTAGAAATTCAGGCCAGATTCAGAAAAGGACGTGAGATGAGGGATATCACTGTTATGACAGGTGGATGTTGGCTGAAAGCAGAGAATACCAGAAAGATGTATACCTGTGTTTTATTGACTAGGCAAAGACATTTGACTGTGTGAATCATAACAAATTATGGATAACACTGCAAAGAATGGGAATTCTAGAGCATTCTGTTCATGAGAAACCTGTACATAAACCAAGAGGCAGCCATTCAAACAGAACAAGGGAATATTGTGTGGTTTAGAATCAGGAAAGGTGTGCATCAGGGTTGTATCCTTTCACCATACTTTTTCAATCTGTATGCTGAGCAAATCATCCAAGAAGCTGGACTCTATGAAGAAGAATGTGGCATCAGGATTGGAGGAAGATTCACTAACAACCTGTGATATGCAGATGACACAATTTTGCTTACTAAAAGTGAAGACGACTTGAAGCACTTACTGATGAAGAACAAAGATTACAGCCTTCAATATGGATTACACCTCAACATAAAGAAAACAAAAATCCTTGCAACTGGGCCAATAAGCATCATCACATAAAACAGAGAAAAGACTGAAGTTTTCAAGGATGTCCTTTTACTTGGATCTGACACCCATGGAAGCAGCAGTCAAGAAATCAAATGATATTATACTGAGTAAAATAAGTCAATCACAGAAGGACAAATACTATATAAGTCCACAATTGTAAAAAGTTAAGGAAAAGTTTACACATGGAAACTTCCTTTGTTGGTTACTAGGGATGGGAGGGGAGGGAAAACTGCTAGCTAGGTAAGAGACATGTATTGAATTGGGTGAAGGGAAGGGCAATTTAAAAAAAAGAAAAAAGGAAAGCAACCAAATGATGTATTGCATTGGGCACACGTGCTGCAAAAGATCTCTTTATGGGAGATCTGGTGGCGTAGTGTGTAAGGCATCTGACTGCTAACCAGAAGGCTGGCAGTTCAAACCCACTAGCCATTCCTCAGAAGGAAGACTGGGCAATCTACTTCCATAGAGATACCACCTCAGAAACCCACAAAAAGGTCATCATGTCACTTTGAGGACTAAGATGTGCCTGACCTAAGCCATGGTATTTTTAACCACCTCATATGCATGCAAAAGTTGGACAATGAATAAGGAAGATTGAAAGAGTTGATGTATTTGAATTACGGTTTTGGTGAAGAATATTGAATATATCATGGACTGCCAGAAAAATGAACAAATCTGTCTTGGGAGAATTACAGCAAGAATGCTCCTTAGAAGTGAGGATGGTGAGACTTCATTTCATATACTTTGGTTAGTTATCAGGAGAGATCAGTCCCTGGAGAAGGGCATCATGCATAGTATAGTAGAAGGTCAACAAAGTAGAGGAAGATCCTCAACAAGATGGGTTGACACAGTGGCTGCAACAAGGGGCTCAAACACAGCAATGACTGTGAGGATGGCACAGGACTGGATACTGTTTTTTCTATTGTGCACAGGGTCATGAGTTGGAGCTGACTCACCAGCACCTAATGAGTCTTTATTGTAGCAGATTGCCAGGACTTTTCTCCTTCAGAGGTTCTGGTGGGTTCAATTCAGCAACCTTTCAGTTAGCAGCTGAGTGTTTAACCATTGCACTACTGAGGCTTCGTTTTATAGGGCCATAATACAGATCAAAAGGAGCCCTGGTGGCACAGTGGTTAAGCTCTTAATTGTTAACCCAAAGGTGCAGTTCAAACCCACTAGCCACTCTGCAGGAAAAAGATGTGGCAATCTGCCTCTGTAAAGATTATAGCCTTGGAAACCCTATGAGGCAGTTCTACTCTGTCCTATAAGGTCATTATGAGTAGGAATCAATGAGACAGCAACAGGTTTAATACAGATCAAATACTTACAGGGCTGCAGTAGAGATCAAATCAAGTAATTTTTCTGAAAAGCATTTGGTAGACTGCAGAATTCCATACACACATAAGGGATTAGTACTATGCAGAAGTAACAAGAGATGCTTTCTTCCCACACATATTCACCGCAACTCGCCTACCCTCACCAGCCACATAACCGCCGGCTTCCTACTCATTGCTCTTCTTGTTTTTCCCCTCACCCAGGGCCAGTCTTCCTTCCTTCTCTCCCTCCATTTTATAGGGCTGAGACCCAATAAGGGCAGCAGAGGATCCCTTGCCTCCCAGCAGTTTTCACTTATCTCCCAGTAAGCAAACGTCCTGTCTCCATCTTAAGGGAAAGCCAAGCTGGAACAAGACCATGAATCAGATCCAGCCTCTCCAAAGAACTTTCTGTGCTGGGAAAACGTCAGTCAATGATCAGGATGTCTGGGATTGGGGGATGGAAAAATACACAAAACCAAGATCTCCTTCTAATCCCTTCCATTACCACCCAGACTCTTCCTCAACAGGCACTCTCCCAATACCCCTGGAGACCAGCCTTGCTCTGGGTCCAGAGGACAGGGAGGTAGAGCAGGGGAGGCAGGCAGGAGGCTGGTGGGCAAGCCCAGGCCGCAGCTCCTTGTGGAAGGCTCATTCCACAAGAAGTGACCAAAATATGGGGAATTAAACAAACCCAGACACTGTAATGTGTGTATATTAGATTAACTCTCCAAAGGGTCACGACCTTGAGGAACACATTCAGCCAGCAGGGAAAATAATAAACTTGATTAATTATGAGGTATGAGGTACATATTCAACAAACAAACCAGCTCGATGATGCCCAATGGAGCTCCCAGAGCTTCCTTCCCTGAGGGGACCAGAGCACAGCCAACCTCTTCAGGCCCTTACCCACCCCCACCCCCACCACACAAACACAGACACTTAGGGAGTAAGGCAGAATATGATTTCTCCCTCCGATGCCTGCTGTCTATCCAAACAGTCTCTATCACAGGCGATACCATGCTGTCTCCAAGTCCCACTATCACCCAGGTGCCCCAGGGGTAGTGAAAGTGAAGGGAGTCCTCTTTGTTCCTAAGGGGCTCAGTCCACTCAGCCAGTCCTCAGACCTGGGGATGGGAAATGAGCTAGTCTCATAGATGCCCACTACCCGGCAAAGGGGCCAGCCGAGTCAGAGCTCTGCTCCTCTTTCCAGACAGCCCAGGCCCTTGGGAGACATGCCCAGGAGAACCACTGGAGGGAGGCAGGGAGGTGGCACCGCGTGGCATCACCAGACATCAGCACCAGAAGGAAAATGGCAGCATAAAGTACAGATGCCAAGAGCTATGTGTAGCCAAAGGTCCAGCATCGGGGAGCAGCTCAGCCCGCATTGCCCCACCACTGCCAGGCAGACAGAGCCAGATGCGCCCTGGCCCGGCCCCCTCCACTGCCTCCTCCCCCCACCAAGGACCCTCAGTCCACTCTCCTCAAGCTCCAACTCCTCCCCTCCCACTTTCTTCAGCTCCAGGGATCCGGAGGAAGAGACACAGGTGCTCTCAGTGTCTTGAATCCCCTATCCGGGCAGCAGCGAGCTCTGCCTCACCCAGCCCAGGTCTGAGCCGCTCACAGTCCTGCCACTCCTCACTGGAGAGAATCGCAATCAGCTCCCCTCCTCCCTACAACCCCCTCCCCCATTATAAACCCAATGCAGGTCTCCAGAGTTTCTCCCTCACTTCCCAGTCGGGTGAACTAGGGTGGGATGGGTAGGAGCCCCATTAGTCCTGGGAAGAAGGGTCAGTTCTAACAGGACGCTGGCTCCCCAAAAGCAGTAAGCGGAGGTGGGGAGAGGTAGGGTGGCCAGAGTCCAGAGCAGGGGCAGGGGGCAGTGAGACAGATGGCAATGAGGAAAGGGGGAGGGGGCTTCGTGGGTCCAGGGCTGGGATGCGATGGGGGATTGTGCCCAGGCACCAGCGGCGATCCGGCAGGCAGTCGGAGAAACGAAGGGTGACGAGGTGTGGGGATGGAGAGCCTTGTAAAGAAGGGGCCGTCATCCCTGCAGGGGGCAGAGGCTGGGTTGGGAGTTGTACTGGGGAAAAGGCAGGACCAGAGTGGGAGGGTTGAGAGCCCGGGAAAGGGATGCGGACAGAGGCAGATGGGCATGGAGACCGAAGGAACTAAGCGCAGGGCGACCGGCTCCGGGGCCGAATTTGGAAACGCAGGGGAGCAGAGTGCAGAGGACAGGGTTGGTTGAAAGCAGAGAGGGGCGGCTAGGGCGCAGAGGAGCAGCGGGGGGCGCGAGTGGGGAAGGGGTGCGGGGAAGCGGCCCCAGAGGGAAGGAGAGGAAGAAAGAGGCGCAGAGACGTCAGAAGTATAGGATACAGGCGGAGGGTAGGGGGACGCGCAAGCGGGTCCCTGCGCGGACAGCACTCAGGGGTCGCAGGGGTACCCCAAGGTCCAGACTGGGGGGCCGTGCGGGTCCGATGGCCGAAGTCGTTCCCTTACCTGGGCAGGTCCGAACTCAGGGGCTGAGGTGGGGCCGGGCGCTGCTCGGTCGGCTGCCAGTCTGTTGTTTTTTCTTTTTTTTTTTAAATTTCTGCAGCAGCCGCGGCGGCTCCAGCCCGCTCCCCGGCAGCTGAAGGCAGAGTCTGTGTCCGGCTGCGAGCGAGCGAGCGACCGAGAGAGCAAGCGGGGAGCAGGGCGCGCGGGAGAAAACGGGCTGAGGCGCAGGGCGACGCCCGGCGGGCAGTGCGGGAACTGCTGCAGCCCGGCGCGTGAGCCGGCCAGGAGGGGCGCCCCTTCGGGGCTTGCGCCGCGAGCAGTCTCCTGGCGCGGCCAGGGGCGGGGCAGTGCACGCCCCCGCGCCCAGTGAGCCTCTCGCCGGAACGCGAGGTACTAGGGAGCGGAGCGAGGAGCCGAGAGGCTTACGAAGTGGACCCAGGGTGAAGTGGGGCCAACTTAACGCTGTCCTGTGGGCTGAAGGCCGAGCAAAAGGGGCCTAGCCCGCGGAGCTGCGCAGGGGTAGGGCGCTCGGAGCGAGGGGCGCGCACGCGGGGCGGCCCGCAGTGCGAGGTGAGTACGCTGCAGTGTATCGACCTCTGGTGGGTAGACGAGGCGCAGCCCGCACTCTCCGCCGCTCTGCGAAAGGGGGCAGCCCACCCCGGACCGAGTTATAGCCCGGCAAGTTTCGGCGGGCAAAGGGCGCCCCCTGGTGGGGCTTTTCGGGGCGCAGGAAGAACGTGCCCTGTCTCGGGAGAGACTGCAGCTGAGTAGTGGGGAAGATGACAGTTCTGAGGTTTTAGGGGGAAAGGAGGGACCAAATTATCCCAGGCGGACGAAGAGAGGCAGCTTGCATTAGTAGTTATGGGGCACTATTTTTATTAATACAAACATCTTGGGAGAAACTCACCAAAAAAACCAAACTTACTGCCGCCCAGTAGGATCAGACTCATAGCGACTCCTCCTTGGGTTTCCGAGGCGGTGTCACTACCGAAGTAGATTGCCCAGCCTTCCTTCGGAGGAGTGGCAGGTGGGTTTGACCGGCCAGCCTTTTGGTTAGCAGTTAAGTGCCTTAGGCACTTCGCCACCATCATCCTTATTTTACAGGTGAGCACCCTGAGGCTAGGAGAGGTGAAGGATTACCAGACCAGAAGCGCATGAGACCAGGAAAGCAACCAAGCTTTCTGACACTTCGTCCAATGTTTATTTTAGTAAATCACAGCTGGGGAAAGAAGGAGAATAAGTGGAGGCCCAAAGGCCATGTGACCTCCTCAAGCCTGTCAGCTCCTCTTTTCCTGTTCATAGGGTCTTTGTCTTGGGTCAACCATCAAAATGGTCACCCCTGCCCTGCCATCTTCAACAGACTGTGCCCTCACACCCAACCAATTAAACAACCTAATTAAATTCTCAGTTAAGGATTTCTTCTCATACGTACTTGGTTGGGCCCTGGGCATGAAAAAATGATGTCTGGGCTACAGAACAGTCATTGACACTGCATTGCCCAAGCACCAGCCCTGAGCTTCCCACTTCCTGTGAACCAGGTTGCAAGTAGAAAATGTGGGCCACGAGTCCTGCCTTCCCATCATTCACCTCCACACACTAGGTTCATTAGGTAGGGGAGTCACCATATTGGAACAGGGCTTCATTTCTCCAGCCAGACATTATTTAGTACCTACTGTGTGCCAGGGAGCTAGTGGCGTAGTGTGTAAGGCATCTGACTGGTTACCAGAAGGCTGGCGGTTCAAACCCACCAGCTACTCTTCAGAAGGAAGGTTGGGCAATCTACTTCCAAAGTGATACCGCCTCGGAAACCCAAGGATATGAGTCAGATCCAACTCAACAGCAGTGAGCTTGGTTTTGGTTTTCGGTGTGCCAGGGAAGCGAGTCCTGGTGGTGCAGTGGTTAAAGCATTCAGTTTCTAACCACAAGGTGCCCGGTTCCAACCCACCAGCTGCTTGGCAGGAGAAAGATGTAGCATTCTGCGTCTGTAAAGATTTACAGTATTGAAAACCCTGTGGGGCAGTTCTGCTCAGTCCTACTGGGTCACTATGAGTCAGAATTGACTCCAGGGCAGTGGGTGTGTTTTTTGCTTGGGTGTGTGAAGGCGGATCCCTGGTGACACAGTGATCAAGTGCCCTGCAGCCAACTGAAAGATCAGAGGTTGGACCCAACCAGCCGCTCTGCAGGAGAAAGAGGGGACAGTCTGCTTCTGTAAAGCTTATAGCCTTGGAAACCCTATGTAGCAGTTCTACCCTGTCCTATAAGGTTGCTATGAGTTGGAATCCATGGTGGCAATGGGTAAAGGTGTGCCAAGGCTTCAGCACTTACAGAAGAGTTACGTCTAATAACCTTTGCATCAACTTTGCAAAATAGGTGTTAAGATGACACTAATCCCATCTTAAGGAGCTCTGGTGGTGTAGTGGGTAAGGCATTTGGCTGCTAACCAGAAGGTTGGCAATTCAAATCCACCAGCAGCCTTAAAACCCAGATGGAGATCATTATGAGTCAGAATCAACTCGATTGCAGTGGGTTTGGTTTGTAACCCCATTTTACAGAAGAGGAAATTTGTTTAAGATCACTTGCGTAAGCCAGACACATTCTAGGGTGAAAAGGTTCTCATCTCCCACTGCCATTGAGTCGATTACGACTCATAACTACCCCCATTGGGTTTCTAAGGCAGTAAATCTTTATGGAAGTAGATTGCCTGGTCTTCCTTCCACGGAGTGGCTGGTGGGACTGAACCTCCAACCTTCTGGTTAGCAGTCAAATGCCTTAGGCACTGCACCACCAGAGCTCCTTAATTTCTAACTGTACCCCCATTCCCTCACTCTGGGTCTTCTTTCCCTCATTTACAAAATGGACAGGGTAGCTTGTTGTTATTTGCTGTTGAGTCGGACCCAACTCATAGCGACCCCTCCTCGGATTTCCGAGGCAGTATCACTATGGAAGTAGATTGCCCCATCTTCCTTCCGAGGAGTGGCTGGGGAGTTTGAACCGCCAGCCTTCTGGTTAGCAGTCAAGTGCCTTAGGCAATATGCTACCAGAGCTCCCTGGACAGTGTAGCAGCACAGGCCAAACAGAAAGTGCCCTGGGCTGGGAGGAAAGACAGGGATCCCAGTGGCCCTGGGCAAGGGATTTCACTTCCCCCAGCTTCAATTTCCACATCTCTTACAAATGAGGGAAGCAGACAAAGTGATCTCTAAAGTTACCTCAAGCTCTGAAATGCCAGGTATTATTTTAAAGTTGCAAGAAAAATATGTCATATAAGTGAAATGCTTCATCTTATTCTTTTGCCTGGTGAGCATATCCTATTAACCAGAGAAGGTGGGGGAGGAGCTTTTGGCAGGGTCAGAGAGGTTGCTGACAGGTCTGGAGGTAGCCTTGGCCTGCAAGAATGATTCTAACTTTTCCTTGCTTAAAAGGCCTCTTCCCCAGAAGCAAGCAGCTCTCTACAGGGCAGATGGTGGGCAGCCTATGCCAGAGAAGACTACCGTTCGCCCCACCCTGGTTGTGAATCACCCATGTTCCTGTCTCTCCTCTCCACTACTAGCTGCTGAGTTTTTTAAGATACTTACCACTTGTTCTCCATTTTTTTTAATCATGAACATCAGTGACACTTGTCAATCAAAATTTAATTCCAGGCAAGCTAACTTCCTAAACCCAGCTCTAGAGGAAGGAAGGTCAACCCAGTTGATTTTTGGATTCTACAGAGACAGAAGGGGAATGAGGCTGGCCCAGCTGATCTCCCTCTGAGGCTATGGTCTTAAATGGAAAAGAAGAAGGATGGAGAATGGGCTGTCTCCTCCAGAGCCTCTCATCTGAAGCATTTCTTATCACCAGCTGCTATGGTTTGCTGCATGGATAGGGTTTAGGGTGTTTGGGTATCATGACTAAGACTGGGAGATCCAAGCTCTTTGGTGGCTGGAGCCCACAGGGAGTCTGTTCTCCTGGACTTATTTTTAGCTTCCTGTTTCTTTGTATTTGCTTTGTATACCTCTGTGAAGCAGAATAAATTTAGCTACTATTTCTTTTCCAAAGGTTCCTTTGAAGATCCATCACAAGTTTCTAACGAGGGGAAAAAAAGAAAAACACTCAGTATTTACACCACAATAGGTTTTGTAATGTGTTGAATGAATGAACTGCATGGAGTTAGGGTTAGTGGATTCCATAATCCTGGCAATTGAAATTTGCTCCTGTCATTGGTCTAGATGAGTCAAATGAGATTATCTAACTAGCAAACACAAAACCTTCAGTCCTCATGAAGCTTGAAGTCTTAAGAAACCTAAGCTGAAGCTGGGGTTCACATTTGAATTATATGAGGTTGAAAGTAACTAGCACCTGATTGTATACCCTTGATTGTATTATAATTTAGCAATCCTACCAGAGTTCTTAAATGCCAAATTCAATGAAAATATATTCTCTGTGTCTCCTCCACGTCACTTGTTTGGGGATAAATGGTTAATTCCTAAAGGATAATGTCTAACAGAACTGGTTTAGAAACAGAACTGAAGTCAGAAAGAGAACTGTTCTTTGATTTTTAGTCATGCTTTAAAGGATACAGGAAGCAATGGTTCTGACCAAAGACATCATGGACGAGTGTTGACAAAAAGCAAATATAGATGCATATGGGTTTGGAGTCACATACTCCTCAAGCCTCATAGCAGCATATCACTCAACCCAGCTGGCTACAAAGACCATATCTTTGGTTAAAAAAATCCTATCCCCACTTGACAACTGTATTTTAATACATCTCTCTTCCTCTAACACTTCTTATCTTCATTTTATTTATCTAGGAATAAAGAATATTGCTCACACTGAAATTAAAATGAAAATTTGGATTATCCTTCATCCAAACATAACTCTCATTCTGCAGCCCTGCTCGCATCCCTAGTATGGGAACCTAATTCACTCCCACCACATGTCTCAGTTTCCGTTTGGTAGAGGAGATAATCTCGCATGACAATCAGTTCTTCTGCAACAAATTTTGGTGTCGATTATGTGCTAGGCACTGGAGACAAAATAGAAAACAAGACAAACTCAGAGCTTGTCCTCTTGGAGTTTATAGTTAGTAAAAGGTATCATAAGGGCAGTACATTCTCCTTCTTACAGTTTTGGTCTTACATCAGATATATTCTGTATGATGTTTCCAATACATTTAAGTCAGTTACATGGTCATTGTCTAAGCTGGGCGGCTGGGTGGGGGTGGTGCAGGGGTATGTAGTTTATGGCAATTCCAGAGTTGGAGGTGAGTCTTTAACAGACACTGGTTTGGGTACACCCAGAATTCTCAGCCTGAATCCTCTGCACTGTAGCTAGAAGTTTGCCAACTAAGGGACATGAGACATTGACCTTCACCTGTACAAATAAAGGCTTATAACTAATACCACGATAGTAGGAGTACTATGCTCACTTTTTAAAACAGCATTTAACTTGTGGTGAGCTTTATTCCTCCATATCCATCTTTCCTCATTTGACTCTCACAGTTGGTCTTGGTAGGTTCCATTAATGTTATAAATATAAACCACTCACTAAGGAAGTAGCTCTGGTGGCATAGTGCCTAAGGCACTTGACTGCTAACCAGAAGGTCGGCGGTTCAAACCCACCAGCCACTCCTCAGAAGGAAGGTTCAAAAATCTACTTCCATAGTGATACTGCCTCGGAAACCCAAGGAGGGGTCAGTATGAGTCCAAGAGGACTTGACAGCACATAACAATGACAACAACAAGAAGGAAGTAGCAAAGCTGAGTTAAAACTCAGGGCTTCTGGCTCCAGGAGGGAAGCAGGCTGCATG